CCGCAGTTCAGTGATCAGGTTCATGACTCTTGAATGACTGCCAACACAATATCACACTTTCAAAATGTTCAATGAAAAACAGTACACTGTTCAACTATCACATGAGCGCCACATACTGTTGTACTCAAGCCCAACTCTGACAATCTTGATTCGGTGGAAATCCAGTCACTTAGAATATATATATATATATATATATATATAATTTTTTTCACAGCAGCGTAAACTCTAAACAGTACAGTGTCTGGTCTATGGTCCACTCCTATCCCACCACAGCCCATACTAGCTCTCTCCTAACCTGGTTCTGAAGCGTTGGGGACTGACTCAGCCTGGCAGGGCCGAGCCCAGCGAATGTTACCCATCAACCACTGGCTCTCTACCTCTCTCTGACAGGACAGGACAGGGCAGGGCCCTCCTTCCCCACAACAAAGCCCGATTCCAGCTGCCCTACATCTGCTGGGGGCTGTGAGTGTGTGTGTGTGTTTGTTTGTGAGTGTGTGTGTGTGTGTGTGTGTGTGTGTGTGTGTGTGTGTGTGTGTGTGTGTGTGTGTGTGTGTGTGTGTGTGTGTGTGTGTGCATTTGTGTGTGTGTGTGTGTCTGTGTGTGACCCCTGGCTCTCTTTGTGAGTATTCCAGTGCCGGGACTGGAGACATGGGCGGCACTCTTTGATGCTACGTTAGTTGATTCACCGGCTGGCTGAACTGGGGAGAAATAAGGAGAAAGTGTGTGTGTGTGTGTGTGTGTGTGTGTGTGTGTGTGTGTGTGTGTGTGTGAGTGCATTCTGATTGCTTCCTACTGTCACTGTGAGTGCTCTCTCTGCTTTAACAAGAGCAGTTCTAACTCATATAGATCCTCTCATCCTCTCACCTCCGACTCACTAACTCGTGGTCCTGTTTGCCCCGTCTTTTCTCTTCTCCTCCCTTCTCTCCATTTACACTCAGTAACCTTGCCGAGATCATGGAATGTTGATTTATTTAATTCTAGGGCATTTTAATGCTATTATTCAGTAATACTATTAACACAGAAAAATGTGCTTTGGCATAGTTTTAGCCATACATTAGTAGTAACCAGACAGGTACAGTTGCGTGCCGATACTATTTGTGTTAACGGCCCAATTCAATCAGATCCGCTTTAGCTGACATCCACATAGCTGATATTTTGATGGTGTCAGAGGTGGAAGTGCGTTAGGGCTGTCAAATCCACAAGCGGCTCCCGGAATTATACCTAAAGTGGACATTGCCATTGGCTGCACGGAGTCGTATTAAGAGAAATCCCATGCAGCCTTGTTAACAAGTTCGAACACTGGAATGTGAGATGTAATCTACACCTCGATTAGGCTGATAAAAATCCTCATTATTTCGTTTAATAATTTTCAATTCGAGCGTCATTATTTCTATATAGCCTACACTTTCTCGTTCTGAACTTCTAACTCGAGTGGGATGGGTGTGGCTTCGTGACGAGGATCACAAGATTAGCTGCTCACAGTTTTGGCAGCTCCAACTCAGTTACACCTCCGACACCGACACCGCCAAAACACCAGCTATGTGGCTGTCGGCTATCGCCCGGTTAACGCTTGATCCGATTAAATCTAGGACTAAGTAGGTCTACTTTGCCTATAGCTGCAGTAGGATTTTACCAATAGGACTTTGCAAATCTTCTACTGTATACAGTATGTGCTTTGTTATATCAACAAAACCCCCAAACAAAAGTAAAGCAGTATCACAATGGAAACACCTATTACAATTAACGTTATTGTAATAATTTTAATATCGCTGTATATATTTTCTTTTCCAAAAAATAATGCTCAATTGCACACTTTACACAATAAAATAATGCTCTTTTAAAAAAGGAAATATGAACAACTCTACATGAACAATGAAACACATTCAGGAGGAAAACATATGCTTATTATTATTTAACACATTCAGGCGAAATGTTCTGAAAAACAAAATGTTTCATCTCTCCCAACCCCATGCGTACACGGTACAGTATCTCTTGTAAGATGATGAACTTCAAGTTACACTAAAGAATAGTTACAGTACACCGTACCATGCATTATGCTGTCATTTTTGATTGACTTAGGGTTCTGTTTTAGTCTCACCCAAAAAGGTACCAGTTCAATTTAGTTTCCTCAACATAAAAAATAATTACATTCAAATATACATTTGATTTAAATTACAATTATATGTAAGTAAACACTTCAAGCATGCATCTCCTGTAATTAACACGCTTTTATGTATATTACATATTCAAATAGAATGATGATACACCGACTAAGGGAATTCTGTACAAAACAATAATAAGTAGTATTTAATATTATTAATATTAATATTTCATTTTTATCATAAAGGCTAGCAGCATAACATACCTGTACATGGGAATGGACTTGTAGTGATGAATCTGAATGGACTTGTAGTGATGAATCTGAATGGACTTGTAGTGATGAATCTGAATGGACTTGTGGTGATGAATCTGAATGGACTTGTGGTGATGAATCTGAATGGACTTGTGGTGATGAATCTGAATGGACTTGTACTGATGAATCTGAATGGACTTGCAGTGATGAATCTGAATGGACTTGCAGTGATGAATCTGAATGGACTTGTAGTGATGAATCTGAATGGACTTGTAGTGATGAATCTGAATGGACTTGTAGTGATGAATCTGAATGGACTTGTAGTGATGAATCTGAATGGACTTGTAGTTATGAATCTGAATGGACTTGTAGTGATGAATCTGAATGGACTTGTGGTGATGAATCTGAATGGACTTGTAGTGATGAATCTGAATGGACTTGTGGTGATGAATCTGAATGGACTTGTGGTGATGAATCTGAATGGACTTGTGGTGATGAATCTGAATGGACTTGTACTGATGAATCTGAATGGACTTGCAGTGATGAATCTGAATGGACTTGCAGTGATGAATCTGAATGGACTTGTAGTGATGAATCTGAATGGACTTGCAGTGATGAATCTGAATGGACTTGTAGTGATGAATCTGAATGGACTTGTAGTGATGAATCTGAATGGACTTGTAGTGATGAATCTGAATGGACTTGTAGTGATGAATCTGAATGGACTTGTAGTTATGAATCTGAATGGACTTGTAGTGATGAATCTGAATGGACTTGTGGTGATGAATCTGAATGGACTTGTGGTGATGAATCTGAATGGACTTGTGGTGATGAATCTGAATGGACTTGTACTGATGAATCTGAATGGACTTGCAGTGATGAATCTGAATGGACTTGCAGTGATGAATCTGAATGGACTTGTAGTGATGAATCTGAATGGACTTGTAGTGATGAATCTGAATGGACTTGTAGTGATGAATCTGAATGGACTTGTAGTGATGAATCTGAATGGACTTGTAGTTATGAATCTGAATGGACTTGTAGTGATGAATCTGAATGGACTTGTAGTGATGAATCTGAATGGACTTATAGTGATGAATCTGAATGGACTTGTAGTGATGAATCTGAATGGACTTGTAGTGATGAATCTGAACGGGAGGTTGATTGACAAGAATAGTGTTTTAGTAACGTGTTCATAGTGACCCAGCTCTCTGCTGCTAGAGAGCCATACCGTAAATGCAATGTTTGTTGTTTTCCTGTTACAGAAAAACATCAACCATTAACCGACTCTCCCTTTCTTTTCTGTCTGAAGATGGACATTCTGCTGTGCATTGCTGTCTTCAACTGTCCTTCAGACAACAAACCCACGACAATACAACAAAGAGATTCCCAATTGCCAATGAACAGTTTAGGTATAGATGTAAGCCAAGCTGATTTAGAAACCAAATCTCCGAGGGACATGGTAGACAAGGACAGGCTCGTCAGCAGGGGTATTCACGCACACTCTCACACACACACACGCATGCACGCACGCACACCGCACCACACCACACCACACCACACCACAGCTCACCACAACATACACACCACACCACACCCCACCACACCCCACCACACCACACCATACACACCACACCATACCATACCACACCATACCACACCATACACACACAGTGATGATTCAATCAGACAGCAGACATGGCTGCTGGAGCTAACACATGTCCTGCGGTTGACTGGTTGTATTTTCTTCAGGTTTTCTCTTCTTTCTGTCTCTCCATTTGCCAGGAGCATCAGAGTATCAACAACAGAGAGTTGAAAGGACTTTAAGGGGAAAGAATAAGAGTTGTTGGCAGATTCAAATCTGAGTGACCATTAGTAGATCTGATGATCAAAGACATGGACAATAAGTCTTGTTGGACATGGATGATGATACAACCTTCTGAAATAGCAGTTCTGTAATAACAAAACTCAATAACTTTTTACAAAACAATACAAAATCACAATAGTAGAATCATCACTGTCCGTTTTGTAGCACATGGGGAGTTGGTGTAGAGAGCTATTGAAAGGTATTCAGTGCAACCCTTGTCTGGGACAAAGGGCAAGCCTTTCTGAGTCAGACCAGGGACTAGGGACTAGTGATAAGGAACCAGAAGGTAGAAACTAAGGGCTAGGGACTAGGGATGAAGGAGTGAGGGGTGAGGGGTGAGGGGGTGGTCCGGTACTAGGCAACGGTGTGGGCGGTGATGGGGTGAGGAGGAGGGGGTGGGGATAAGGAGTGAGTGGTGAGGGAAGGGGGTAAGGGGTGAGGGCTAGGGTGTGAGGTAAGGAGTGTAAGGGGGAAAGGGTGAGGAGTGTGGGGGTAAATGGTGAAGGGTTAGTGGTGAGGAGTATTGGGGTGAAGGTTGAGGGTGAGGAGTGTGGGAGTGAGGGGTGAAGGGTGAGTGGTGAGGAGTATGGGGTGAAGGGTGAGGGTGAGGAGTGTGGGGGTGAGACGTGAAGGGTAGGTGGTGAGGAATGTGGGGGTGAAGGGTGAGGGATGAGGAGTGTGGGGGTGAAGGGTGAGGGGTAAAGGGTGAGGAGTGTGGGGGTGAAGGATGAGGGGTGATGGGTGAGGGGTGAAAGGTGAGGAGGAGTACGCTGAGGATTATCTGCGGCAGGCATAAGCGTTGATGTTCTTGATGACGTAGAAGCCGATGGTCATAGGGGGTATGGCTATCGTCCTCCCTGCCCGCAGCGTCTGAGGCTTCAATTCTGGGAACGTCTCGTTGTCCAACATCAACAACCTTTCTCCGTTCAACTGGACTGACCTGAAGGAAGACATGAGAGAGAGAGTAGAAGAGATGAAGAGAGTGGAGTTAGAGAGTGAAGTTGGAGAGACAGAGAGAGTGCAGTTGGAGAGACGGAGAGAGTGGAGTTGGAGAAGGATAGGAGAGAGGGGGGAGAGAGAGGAGAAGGATAGGAGAGAGGGGGAGAGAGGGGGAGAGAGAGGAGAAGGATAGGAGAGAGGGGGAGAGAGAGGAGAAGGAGGAGAGAGGGGGGGAGAGAGAGGAGAAGGATAGGAGAGAGGGGGGAGAGAGGGGGGAGAGAGAGGAGAAGGATAGGAGAGAGGGGGGAGAGAGAGGAGAAGGATAGGAGAGAGGGGGGAGAGAGGGGGAGAGAGAGAAGGGTGGGAGAGGAGTTAGGGTTTCACTTCTGCTCAAAGCTGGACTGGTAGAGCAGGAGTCATTCTGAGGCTGCACGTACAGTCATCTGAACACTAGGGGGCGCTAAAGTTACATAATGGCAGCCTCTTGACACTAGGACAGGTTTTGTGACAGATGTGATCCTTCTTATCTAGATGGAAGAGTGGCTAGGTTGGGGTTTCTTTTTGCTAAATTCCAGGCAATTCATGACTTGATATGCACTACCATGGGTGAATTCCTAGTCTAATACAACTAACTGGCATGGAACTGATCACAAACTCATTGAAGTCTGCACCAGAGAGCACCGAGAAGATTTTCAACCCCTTTGGGAGTGGGGATTAGACTGGATATTCATAAATACATAGCCCTACGAAATAACATAAACAACATTCATCAGAAACATGTTACTTAGATTTTGCAACAATGCTGTATTTTCATGAGACTGCCAGATTCCCATAGATGTTTTCCTGTCCCGTCGTCTGTGAGTGGGGGCCTGTAGTAAGTCAGCGGTCCACTAGCTAACTGAACGTGAACGCTAATGAATCCAATACAATGAGGTTTCCAATTCCATGCCTAAACGACGTTAAACACAGTGGAATAGCAAATGAATAACACGGTTATAAAGAATAAAGGACAATTTTGTACAATTTTCTCAGGGGGAAAAACAAGACTCAGAGACATTTTTGTGCACACTTTTGTTTACATCCTTGTTAGTGAGCATTTCTCATTTGCCAAGATAATCCATCCACCTGACAGGTGTGGCATATCAAGAAGCTGATTAAACAGCATGATTATTACATCTGATGCAGCACTCAATCACTCTCCTTCTTGGTAAAATAGCCTTTACACAGCCTGGAGGTGTGTTGGGTCATTGTCCTGTTGAAAAACAAATGATAGTCCCACTAAACCCAAACCAGATGGGATGGCGTATCGCTGCAAAATGCTGTGGTAGCCATGCTGGTTAAGTGTGCCTTGAATTCTAAATATATCACAGACAGTGTCACCAGCAAAGCACCCCCAAACCATAACACCTCCTCCACCATGCTTTACGGTGGGAACTACATATGCGGAGGTCATCCGTTCACCCACACCGCGTCTCACAAAGACACGGTGGTTGGAACCAAAACTCTCAAATATGGACTCCAGACCAAAGGACACATTTCCACCGGTCTAATGTCCATTGCTTGTGTTTGTTGGCCCAAGCAGGTCTCTTCTTCTTCTGGTGTCCTTTAGTAGTGGTTTCTTTGCAGCAATTCGATCATGAAGGCCTGATTCACACAGTCCTCTCTGAACAGTTGATGTTGAGATGTGTCTGTTACTTGAACTCTGTGAAGCATTTATTTTGGCTGCAATTTCTGAGGCTGGTAACTCTAATGAACTTATCCTCTGCAGCAGAGGTAACTCTGGGTCTTCCATTCCTGTGGCGGTCCTCATGAGAGCCAGTTTCATAATAGCACTTGATGGTTTTTGCGACTGCACTTGAAGAAACTTTCAAAGTTCTTGACATTTTCCGTATTGACTGACCTTCATGTCTTAAATTAATGATGGACTGTCATTTCTCTTTGCTTAATTGAGCTGTTCTTACCATAATATGGACTTGGTCTTTTACCAAATAGGGCTATCTTCTGTATACCCCCCTTACCTTGTCACAACACAGCTGATTGGCTCAAATTAACTTTTAAGAAGGCACACCTGTTAATTGAAATGCATTCCAGGTGACTAATTCATGAAGCTGGTTGAGAGAATGCCAAGAGTGTGCAAAGCTGTCATCAAGGCAAAGGGTGGCTATTTTAAGAATCTCAAATATAAAATATATTTTGATTTGTTGAACACTTTCTTGGTTACTACATGATTCCATGTGTGTTATATCATAGTTTTGATGTCTTCACTATTATTCTACAATCTAAAAAATATAGAAAAATCCTTGAATGAGTAGGTGTGTCTAAACTTTTGACTGGTAGTGTAGGCTTTGAAAAAGCACCCTGAAATAGGCTACCAGTGTGGCAAGTGCAGCTGTCTGCTGGTAATCTTTCTTGACTTGGACATACATTTTTGCAATCACATGGTTAACCTTTGTGTAACTGCTCGGCGCTTAGCGAAAATGTGTTTGGAGTTACCTTTTCTAGCTAATAAGCTACGTTAGAGTTTACACTTCCTCTTCAAATTTTAATGTGGGGATGTCAAAATAATGAAAAACCATCTACCAAATCTATTCATTTTTAAATGTTGATTACTTCTCCTTGCCATTATCATTCACCTGATGATAAGACAAGACATAACATATGATTGGGGTCCCTGGGTCGCCGGTTTGCCTGGGAGGGGGGTCCCTGGGCAAGAAAAGGTTGAAGACCCCTGGACTACAGTCCAGTTCGGGCTCCCCTGTGTTGTTCTGTGAAAAAGCAATATTTACCAGGTTGCATTAAACCCTGTAGAGAGCACCTCATTGGCTGATTTACCAGATTTATTGAGACCAAAATATAATGGCAAACGTAAGGGCATTTTGGGGTATTCCATGGATTACATTATTTTTCACAATTGGTTAGCCTCAATTTCAACTAATCCTTTAACTTTGTGCACCCTTCGTAACATTTCACTGGTTCATTTCACTTTGTATTGGGGTGGCAGTATCCTACAGGTTAAGAGCGTTGGGCCAGTAACTGAAAGTTTGCTGGTTCGAATCACCGAGCAAGGCAATTGACCCTGATTCTTCCTGTAAGTTGCTTTGGATATGAGCTTCTGCTAAATGACCAAAATGTTAAATCTAGGGAATGCAAAGCCATGCTAAAACACATTAATACCTACATTTATTTCCTGTGGCCAGACCTGCATATATAGGGCTGGCTGTTGCGTTGTAGTCATATTTATAGACATCTGGAGTTGCTCAAACAATATTAAAAGTCTCCACTGCTCTGCCTATGCTGAGTGAAAGCAGTAAGACCTCCAGATGGAGTCTAGAACAGAGCCGGCGTTCCCCTCCGCTGCTTACGGTTCTATTAACAACCACTATAATCCCTTGTAACACCACTAACACATCCTCATCATTAACCTGTTATTACAGCACACACATATGCGCGCATGCACGTAGAAATACACACACACACACACACACTCATTAGACCGTTATTGCAGAATCAGCCTTGTGTCTGAATACCAGGCTGAACTGTGGAAGGATGGATTACTGCCAGACAGAGAGAGAGAGAAGGGGAGGAGAAGAAGGATGATTGTGTTGAGATAATCAAGCAATAAGGTCAGAAGGGGTGTGGTATATGGCCAATATACCACGGCTAAGGGCTGTTATTTGGCACGACGCAACGCGGAGCAGTGCTACTGGTATGGAATGGTAACAGTGAGGTAGAAAAGAGAGAAAAGGGGAGAATGGATTTTGGGCTGTGCTTGGCCACTGGAACTGATAGAACAGCTAATCTGCCCAGAGGGCTCTGGGGGAGCAGACCAGATCACACCAGAACCAGATCCAGACCAGAACCATCCCCTCTGGGAAGGCCTTTGGTACCAGCAGATGTTTCTTATCACGGTCCACACCGTTCACTTTTCAATTTCAATAAGCCAGGACAAACCTATTATGCTAATCGGATTTTATGGCCAATTCTCAACCATGGAGGTTTTGATGTTTGATGTCTCTTTGCTGTGTGTGTGTGTGTGTGTGTGTGTGTGCGTGTGTGTGTGTACATCATGACTGACCCCTTCCCTCTCCTGAACATTTGCTCCTACTGTAAATACGTCCAACGATAAACAACATTGTCAAGACTTCCGCCGAGGCTGCCTCCCCTCCTTGTTCGTGCAGGTTTCGGCGTTCGGCGTCACCGGCTTACTAGCTACTGCCGATCCATTTATCTTCACTCCATTTGTCTTGTCTTCAATCACACACACCTGGTCCTTATTCCCTCATTAGTCATTGTATAAGTGTTCCCTCTGCTTCCTTGTCTGTGTGGGGGATTGTTTGTTTGTGGAGGTTAGTGAAGCTCGGTGGAACTCGTGTATTGTTTATCGACAGGAGTATTTTTCCCGTGTGCCTTGTATTTTCCAGTGCGCCTGTTTTGTGCCCTAGAGTGTGTTTGACGCATTTCTGCGTAAACCTGTATTTTGCGGATTAAAGCCTGTTGTTCTGTGATTTACCCTCCTGTGCCTGACTCCTTCATCACCACCTCATCACAGAATAACAGGCTTCACTAACCTCCACAAACAAATAATACTTTTCTGGTGTTTTTACAGTCTTTTATGTCCAACAATGACAATTCTAAATGTTTTATAATAATAATAATAAATCAAAATTCTCCAAAAACTGACGGGGGCAAAAAAAAGGCCCACTTACCGCCAGTTGGGGGAACCCTGCTGTATAGTATCTAGACAACTATGGTCCTGGAGGGCTGCAGGGCTATGCAGGTTTTTGCTTCAGTCCAGCACTAAGTATTTACAGTATGGAGGCCTTATAAAGGGTTTATGAAGGCTTGAGACTTTAAAGTTGCGGTTTATTTAAAGTGGAACCAAAAATGCTTCAGTAGAGATGCACGTTTCTCTGATAGAGATCCCAAATCCTATCTTCCAAACCTCCCTATTAAAGGACAACCCCCCACCCTGTTTCCCACAGGGAGGTTAGCTAGAGGGACAGCTGTGTTATGATAACCTAGGTCTCTCTGTCTCTCTCCTGTATGCTGGACTTGTCAGGTCAGTGGGTCATGGTGTCTGTGCGTGTGTGCATGGGTGTGTAACTACATACGAGGACACCGAGATCTGGACCTCGATAATGTTTTCTAATTTGAAAAAAAATATTATACTAAAAATATAGAGCCTATTGTACACAGTAAACAAAATCAATTACAGGACAACATCTAAATATTCCTCCCAGCGTTGATCAAAGCTCAGATAGCGTATATTCTTCAAATCAAATCAAATCAAATATTATTTGTCACATGTGCCGAATTAAACAGGTGTAGACCTTACCGTGAAATGCTTACTTACAAACCCTTAACCAACAATGCAGTTCAAGAGATAGAGGGAAGAAAATATTTACTAGATAAACTAAAGTAAACTTTTTTATAAAAAGTAACACAATAAAATAACAATAACGAGGCTATATACAGGGGGTACCGGTACCGAGTCAATGTGCGGGGGTACAGGTTAGTCTAGGTAATTTGTACATGTATGTAGGAGCAAAGTGACTATGCATAGATAATAAAGAGTGAGTAGCAGCAGTATAAAAACAAAGGGGGGGAGGTCAATGTAAATAGTCCGGGTAGCCGTTTGATTAATTGTTCAGCAGTCTTATGGCTTGGGGGTAGAAGCTGTTAAGGAGCCTTTTGGACCTAGAGTTGGCGCTCCGATACCACTTGCCGTGCGGTAACAGAGAGAAACAGTCTATGACTTGGGTGACGGGAGTATTTGACCATTTTTTGGGCCTTCCTCTGAAACCGCCTAGTATATAGGTCCTGGATGGTAGGAAGCTTGGCCACAGTGATGTACTGGGCCATACGCACTACCCTCTGTAGCGCCTTATGGTCGATGCTGAGCAGTCTGCTGAGGGGGAAAAGGTGTTGTCGTGCCCTCTTCACGACTGTCTTGGTGTGTTTGGACCATGATAGTTTGTTGGTGATGTGGACACCAAGGAACTTGAAACTCTCAACCCGCTCCACTACAGCCTCATGGATGTGAATGGGGGCGTGTTCGGCCCTCCTTTCCTTGTAGTCCACGATCAGCTCTTTTGACTTGCTCACGTTGAGGGAGAGGTTGTTGTCCTGGCACCACATTGCCAAGTCTCTGACCTCCTCCCTAAAGGCTGTCTCATTGTTGTCGGTGATCAGGCCTACCATCGTTGTCTCATCGACAAACTTAATGATGGTGTTGGAGTTGTGCTTGACCACGCAGTCATCAGTGAACAGGGAGTACAGGAGGGGAGTAAGCACGCACTTCTGAGGGGCCCCCGTGTTGAGGATCATCATGGCAGATGTGTTGTTGCCTACCCTTACCACCTGGGGGTGGCCCGTCAGGAAGTCCAGGATCCAGTTGCAGAGGGAGGTGTTTAGTCCCAGGGTCTTTAGCTTAGTGATGAGCTTTGTGGGCACTATGGTGTTGAACGCTGAGCTGTAGTCAATGCACAGCATTCTCACATAGGTGTTCCATTTATCCATGTGGGAAAGGGCTGTGTGGAGTGCGATTGAGATTGTGTTGTCTGTGGATCTGTTCGGGCGGTATGCGAATTGCAGTGGGTCTAGGGTTTCCAGGATGATGGTGTTGATGTGAGCCATGACCAGCCTTTCAATGCACTTCATGGCTATCGACGTGAGTGCTATGGGGCAGTAGTCATTTAGGCAGGTTACCCGGTGAAACATAAGATATTACAGTTTTTAATGTCCTGTTGGTAGGATAGTCTCGAACGGAGCCCATCCAGTTTATTTTCCAGTGATTGCACGTTGGCCAATAGAACGGATGGTAGAGGCAGGTTACCCACTCGCCGACAAATTCTCACAAGGCACCCTGATCTCCGCCCCCTGTACCTCCATCTTTTCTTCACGCGAATGACGGAGATTTGGGCCTGGTCTCAGAGAAACAGTATATATTTTGCGTCGAACCCATTAAAGAAAAAATCTTCGTCCAGTTCGAGGTGAGTAATCGCTGTTCTGATATCCAGAAGCTCTTTTCGGTCATAAGAGACAATAGCAGCAACATTATGCACAAAATAAGTTACAAACAATGCGAAAAAACACACAAAACAGCAAAGCTGGTTAGGAGCCCGTAAAACGGCAGCCATCCCCTCCGGCGCCATTCTCTTGATCGGACAGTTCTAATCGCGCTTGCCTCTTTGCGAACGAGTGGAATCATGAACAGTGGTTTGTTCGTTATGTTCGCCTGCATCACCTGGATTTCCCTCCCGGATTTGCCTTTTTAGCAGCACATTCACCACTCTCTCAAATGGCTAACTACGGCTCTCGCAGCACAGGCTGAGCGCCTGAGACGTGAAACGAACTACCCCATCTCACAGTCAGGTGGCTAGCTGCCGGCAGAGACTTCTATTGCATAACGTTGAAGGGCTGTGGCTAGTAGTACTTAGCCAGCTAGAAGGATGAAGTAAGTTTTTGCTGTTCCCCAAATAGCATTTTAAAGTGTTTTGTATTGTATAGAAATGCAGTAAATGAGCTGCATTTCTATATAAAAATTCCTCGTGGGGAAACTCCTAAATGTTAGCCGTAGATACACATATGATCACTGAGACAGCTAGAGTATATAGAAATGGAAGGAGAGAGAGAAAGAGAGAAAGGGAGAGAGAGAAAGAGAGAGAGAGAGAGAGAGAGAGAGAGAGAGAGAGAGAGAGAGAGAGAGAGGAGAGAGAGAGAGAGAGAGAGAGAGAGAGAGAGAGAGAGTGAGGAGAAAGGAGAGAGTGCGTATGTATGTGTGAGTGTCTGTCAGGCCCCTGCTATGTACTGACCTGGCATGTAGCCCGTCTGTCCCGTAGGGCTGCAGCAGGTACTGATGGACAGTCATGTTACGTAAGGTTCCCGCCAGCTTGATTTTCTTCCTCGACCGATGCAGGTTGATGATATAGATCGTTATGGATCCTCTCACGTAGTTATGACTGGAAGGAATAGAAGATAAGAGAAGCTTTATAAATTTAAAAGCCAGTAAAGGTAAACACAAATATTGGTTTTCATGGTCTTCTTCTTCTTCTTCTAATCTCATGAATATTTATATATTTATATTTATATATTTCTTAATTCCATTATTTTACTTTTAGATTTGAGTGTATTGTTGTGAATTGTTAGATACTACTGCACAGTTGGAGCTAGGAACACATGCATTTTGCTACACCTGCAATAACATCTGCTAAACATGTTTATGTGACCAATAGAATTTGATTTGATTTGATATGAATCAGTCCCAAAACACTAAGCATCAACCCCCCCGTCCCCCCCCCCCGTCCCCCCGTCCCCCCACTGCAGAGACAGAGAGAAAGAGCGAGAGAACGTTCTTTGACTAGACTACCTTTGGTTGCTCTCTCACTCCCTTCTTCTCACTATCTCTATCTTGATCTGTAAGGTCTTTTATAGTATCGTCCTCTGCCAAGCACAATAGAACCTTAAATAACCAAACAGGAGAATAGACACTTTAAAGACAGAGAAAAGCCTTACAGTTTTTGCCCATTGCTTACACACTAAAACCGAATGCTTAGACCAAAGCCTCAATACCTAAACTTCTTGTAGCATACCTTAAACACAGTGTAACCATAGCTTAAACACAATGTCAACTTTGCACTTTGTTTGTAATTCTGTAACACACTTATTGCGAAACACTACACACGTTTTCTTACATTAGACACTTTGTTCAAAAACGAAATCACCTGTTATCATTGGGAAAACACTCTGTTCAAAATGCAAAACACATCTGGCAATTGTATGCACTTACATACACACCTGAAAACACTTGCACAGAAAACAGAACACCAATCAGTCTGAGCCTTAGCACTACAAATAGGCCTCAGGTAAGCCATTTTTAGAACTTTGCAAGCATGGAGGCAATGAGAGTCAGAGTAAGAGGAGGACAAAGAGAGAGAGGAGTCAGATGTGGAAGAGGACATGGAAGAGGACGAGGACCAGTGCGGAGACGTATATCAGATGACATCAGGGCTACTCTGGTGGACCATGTGATAAATCTTGGCCTGTCCATGAGGGAGGCTGGGCAAAGAGTCCACCCTAACCTCAGTCGCTACACAGTAGCATCGATAATAAGGACATTCCGACTGGAGAACAGGTATATCTTCAAGTTTCTACTCCAGACTGTACCTACTGTATGTGTCACATGATTCTGTATCATATTACAGTATTACTGTACTAACTATACTATACAAAAATGGGTAGTGCTGTGAAGTACTGTATATGTAAAGGAATACCATTGTGATGTTGCAGTACTGTGTACAGTTTGAAAGTACAGTATGCCTGTAGCTTGTAGTTTTTGTCTATACTCACCCAACCCAGCCCCTACTTGTGTGAAAATATAGACATTGTAGTTACTGTATGTGTTTTCAGTAACACTATTCAATATTTTCTGTTACAGACAGTTCTGGAGTTTGATGCCGCCGAACTGCCACATGAGTTCATCTACGTGGAAGAGGCAGGCTTCAATCTGGCCAAAACCAGGCGTCGGGGCCGTAACGTAGTTGGACAAAGGGCTGTTGTAAATGTCCCTGGGCAGCGTGGGGGAAATATCACCTTGTGTGCTGCAATTAGTGTCCAAGGAGTCCTGCATCATCATGCCACTCTAGGTCCCTACAATACAGGACAGATCATTGCATTTCTAGATGCACTACATGCAGTTGTGCAGGACAGACCACAGCAGCCCAGGTTTGTTGTCATCTGGGATAATGTTAGTTTCCAACGGGCTGCTGTGGTCCGAGATTGGTTCAACAACCATAATAATTTCACAGTTTTATACCTGCCCCCTTACAGCCCCTTTCTAAATGCAATCGAGGAATTCTTTTCAGCGTGGCGGTGGAAAGTATATGATTGGCAACCACATGCCCGCATGACTCTTCTGCAAGCAATGGAAGAGGCATGTGAAGACATTGAGGTGGGATCAATCCAAGGGTGGATTCGGCACACAAGGCGATATTTTCCCCGATGCCTAGCCCGCGAGGACATCGCTTGTGATGTTGACGAGGTCTTGTGGCCAGATCCGAACAGAAGGCGTGATCCATAAGCACCACCGCCCCCCACCACACACACGCACACGCACACGCACACACACACACACACGCACACACACAAAACAAGTATATGTTTTTTCCCCCAATAGCAATTTATCCAGTAATTGATTTGTTTTTTTACTTTTGTTTTGTTGCTAAATTTGATGTTAAGAATTTCTGTAAGAATGTTTGTTTTTTTGTAAAAAAACGTTTTTGTAAATACTGTTTGATTAGTGCAGAAATTCTACTTTTGAGTTTTACAGAAGACAATGACAATAAAATGACAATAAAAATAGAAACACAAAGACTGCAGTGTTTTATATAAAGCCCATCAGTGTGTTGCTGGTGATATGAAAGAGTAATTCAAATGTTGTTTGTGTGTATGGTTGTGTTGCAAGAATTTCATTTTTAGAAAGGAGTGTTAAGTTTTGATTGCAGTGTTTCATTTTGGCAAATATGTGAGTTGTTAATCTCCAAGTGCTATGTCTGATTGGCTTGTGTGTTGAGTTTTGACATAATGAGCCAAATTCTGCAAAAAGTGTGTAAGCAATAGGCAAAAACTGTAATAACAGGATCAAACCACTCTTGTGAAAGAATAACAATGGTAAAATGGTAAATCAACGTGTTCGAAGCATTCCATAAACCCACTGTAATCTATTATTTATCTTTATAAGAATCCTAAACCTATTATTTATTTTTAGTATATAAATCCATATAAAACGGTATTTTATGTTATTCTTCCATTGCCCTCTTGGCCCCTTTTCTAGATATTTACAGTACATTTCATAACACTGTGGTATATGATGAGATTGAAGGGATCTAATATGTTTTGATATGCTCAAGACCTAAGACCTGTAGTCCCTACTCACATCACATTAGGGATCAATTGGAGGGTGTGAAAGTGTGTGACTGACCTCCTAGAATTACACAGACAACACTGCGTGTGTTGTGAGTGCTGGGGAGAGGATTTAGGGGATTTTTGCCAAAGGTAAATATCTACCAGAGAAAGATAAGAAAAACATGATAAAATGTAATAAGCTGTCTAATGTGAAGGCTGGATCAACACAACTGGAGTGGTCCCATATGTTTCAGGGTGTGTGTGTTTGTGTGTGTGTTTGTGTGTGTGTGTGTGTGTGTGTGTGTGTGTGTGTATGTGTGTGTGTGTGTGTGTGTGTGTGTGGTGTGTGTGTGTGTGTGTGTGTGTGTGTGTGTATGTGTGTGTGTGTGTGTGTGTGTGTGTGTGTGTGTGTGTGTGTGTGTGTGTGGTGTGTGTGTGTGTGTGTGTGTGTGTGTGTGTGTGTGTGTGCGTGTGTGCGTGCGTATGTGTGTGTGTGTGTGTGGTGTGTGTGTGTGTGTGTGTGTGTGTGTGTGTGTGTGTGTGTGTGTGTGTGTGTGTGTGGTGTGTGGGTGTACCATATGTTTCAGAGGACCACATTGTTAAGGGTCAGGGTTGGGCTTTGTCAGACAGGCCGACTGGCAATCCTTCTCTGATTAGCAATCTCTCCATCTCTCTATCTCCATCATCTCTCTCGCTCTCCATCTCCCACGGCTTCAGGTTTTTGTTCACTCTCTGTTTCTACACCTCATCGTACAACAAGGAAACGCTGAGCAGAACCACAGAGAGCCGATTCAAGTGACTTGAAAAATGCTAACATAGACACATAGACAGAGAACAGATTAGAATCAGGGTTGGTCAATTCTGTATACAGAAACCAAAGTCTGTCTGTATGTCTGTCTTTGTGTCAGACAGTGTAATCGGTCAGCCCAGGAGTATTTATTCTGCTCAACTATTGAAGCCTTATGCCAAACATCGCTCAGGGCTGGGATGTATCAGACAGAGAGAGAGATGGAGGGATAGATACCGATAGATTAGACGGAGAGATGGAGAGAGGGATAGAGACAGTCCAGGATTTCAAAACGATGAGGTTCTGAGGTATTAGAAGCAGGAATGTAAACAACCCTTCACGTTGTTTGATGCTGGAACATTGGTTCAGAGTGAAACAGACCATGCTAACCACTAAATGTCTGGAAAGCTAGAAACTGATAACTAGCTAACTGGCTAGTAGAATGCAATACCCTTGACAGCAAAATAGTACTGAAACCGTTAACTGGCTAACTGGCTAGAAGAATAAAATACCCTTGATACCAAAAGAGTACTGAAACTGCTAACTGGCTAACTGGCTAGAAGAATACAATACTCTTGATAGCAAAAGAGTACTGAAACCGCTAACGGGCTAACTGGCTAACTGGCTAGAAGAATACAATACTCATGATAGCAAAAGAGTACTGAAACCGCTAACGGGCTAACTGGCTAACTGGCTAGAAGAATACAATACCCTTGATGGCAAAATAGTACTTAAACCGCTAAATGGCTAACTGGCTAGAAGAATACAATACCCTTGATGGCAAAAGAGTACTGAAACCGCTAACTGGTGAAAAGAGGATGAATGTTGAGATCCAGATATAAGTTCTGTGCCAGGGGTTACGGGCTCCCATCATAAGAGGCGATAGTCACCGTCCTATCCTTCCAGGTGCCAGATGGAAAGCATTGGATGACAACTATTTCAGATCTCTGCAGATCTGTCAACAGGCCACACCATGGGTTACAGATCAGATGTGAGGTGTGTTTGTATCTGTATCAGTAGATACCGAGTCCCTTGAGTGTATCATTACGCTACTGCTCTCTACACCACACCTGCAACTGAGATGGAATAGCCCAGAGACACATCCAATGGCTTTGACCTGGGGATAGAGATCAAATAAAATGTTCACCAGCAAAGACGGAAGACTGATAAACGCTTATATGTGTTTATTGTATATTCAATAAAAATATAGAACATAGTTATTACATTTAGATAATGTAGTGTGTGGAGCCAAGTGAACAGATGTAACTGAGCCGTGTGTGTATAGGTAGGACGGAGGGCAGTAAGTCTAGCCTGGTGCTGAAAGCTCTGCTGCTGACCTGTTACACTACATACGGCTGGGTTAAATGATAACCTTGAACAGGGGGAACAGGGGGACGGTGCTGCTCTTTATCTATTCTGGGACAGACGTCCCTATTGTACCTCCATCTCCCCTCACACTCCCCCAAAACCCCCTCCAACCAATCCGAGCTGGGATAAAGGACTGTCGCCGCCTCTTCGACGAAGAGAAGAGTCCCTCACACACCTGATAAGTGATACCTGTTAAGTTTTATGGCCTGGCCTCTCTGAAAGACGGAGATGTCTGGATGACAGTTATTTATGAGCTGAATAGGCAGAATCGTGGCAGACTGGGTAATTAATGTGATTTATCATGGCTAGAGTGGCTTGTTAATGGGCTATAGTACAGGAGAGACTAGACACCGTGACTAGACACCGTGCCTCAGGTGTCTGTGAAGCTATTGAGAATGTAACACAAAGGTAAGGAAAATGGAACAAGCCATAGAAGTCTGAGCTTTGAGTGCTTTTTAGCCACCCTGCTAATCTTTGTCCTTAGGCCAAAATTGTACTTACAAAATTGTACTTGTGGAAGCTGGTACAGTGTATGGCTGTAGTTTTTACTTGTTGAAGCTGGTACAGTGTATGGCAATAGTTTTTACTTGTGGAAGCTGGTACAGGGCTGCAGCACTTACTTGTGGAAGCTGGTACAGGGCTGCAGCACTTACTTGTGGAAGCTGGTACAGTGTGCGTAGATGCGTAGTTTGTCTCGTATGACCCTTCCTGGCCGTGGTTTCCTCTGTAAGCCTGCTACCCGCACCGCCAACACCCTGGGACCCACCAGACGCTTGAACACCAGTGAAAACCAGTAGTCCTGGAACATACGGACACACATACACACATACACACAAACACCTGTTACACAGTGCAAAGCCAAAGTAAGCATGAGCTACCATAGTGATATTCCCTGTTCCATAGTGTTCCACTGAGGCCATTGACATGTCAACAACTATATAAGGTCAGGCTAACTAGAGTCGATGTCGGCGCCCCCGCGTAACTCTAATTAGCATAATACAGAAATCCCCATAAACATCCGTCAGTTTAAGCTAGAGATATCTGTTTTTTTTGCCTTGGATGCGTCTCAATCCACATCTGCGGTGAAAGATGACAGAGAGCGGTGTTTGTCAGACCTTCTCACAAAATCGTCTGTAGCACCCAAACGGTTTGGCCTACAAACTATTATGACCCCTCTACATGTCAGTTGTTTTGCTCTAGGACGCCCACAGGCCTCACAAGACTCATCTGAAGGTCCCCTGGTACCATTTGAAAAATGGTACAAATAAAAAAGGAAATGTTTCCTGATCTTTCTTATACCTCTCAGATATAGGACAGATACTTCAGAACAAACTTCCTTTTGATCCTTGTTATGACATTCTTAAAACAATTCCATATAGCTTAGTAGAACAACCCCCCCTCCCCCCTCCTCCGGCTTAGACAGGTCTTAGACTGTAATGGGCTAAATGTCCTGGAGGTGGAGACCTGGTTGTACATGTAGTATGTCAGAACAGTGGGTTGTAGAGTTGCAAAGGTGCTAAAACACTCCCCTATGTCTAACAGTTGTATAGAACAGAATCATATTATAACACACCACAGAATGTGTTGAGAGAATCAACTGAATGCTGAGCCCTCTGTGTTTACAAGTGTCCAGTTCAATGCAAATCTCACATTATAACAGTATTCACCTCAATTAAAAGTAGTAAAAGAACACGTGGGAATCGCAGAGAGGCTGCACTGGTGTCTAGTTACAATGATGCCCAGACCAGGGTTAGAAGCTGGATACCGATGCTTCAGTCTTTATTGAAAGAGACAATATAATATATACTATTGGATCCCACAGTGAGGAGCTATTACTAGTCTTTGTTATGTTTGTTTAGCTGCAGGATGGATGTGAACGTCTAATAAAATGAAAGTCAAAAAATTTAACTGAAATATGCCTGGAAAAAAACATGGTGGAAATTCTGAAATGAAAAATACAATTGAATAGCACACTACCCTGCCCTCTCAGCAAAGACATGGGAGCCTTGGACATGTATTCACACGCCAACCCACTTGCAGAGCAAAGCACACAACTTTACAGTGGTCTCTGCACCTCCTCTTTTTCTCTCTCCTCTTCTACCCTTCTCTCCTCTTCTCTTCTCTGCTCTCTCTCCCCTGTCCTGTCCTGTCCTGTCCTGTCCTGTCCTGTCCTGTCCTCTCCTCTCCTCTCCTCTCCTCTCCTCTCCTCTCCTCTCCTCTCCTCTCCTCTCCTCTCCTCTCCTCTCCTCTCCTCCCCTCCCCTCCCCTCCCCTCCCCTCCCCTCCCCTCCCCTCCCCTCCCCTCCCCTCTCCTCTCCTCTCCTCTCCTCTCCTCTCCTCTCCTCTCCTCTCCTCTCCTCTCCTCTCCTCTCCTCTCCTCTCCTCTCCTCTCCTCTCCTTTCCTGTCCTTTCCTCTCCCCTGTCATGCCCCTCTCCCCTCTCCCCAGACTCAACACCTCACCAGAGGTTCTGAACAACATGTGTGTGTCAGGAAGTTCCCATGCAATCCTGCATATGGCAACATTTAAGGGTTTATTTTTTTCCAGCAGGCCAAGCTTTAACTTAATTTGCTGCTCCGCTATTGGGAGAGCCCAGAGTACTGTAAGAGTACAGAACAGAAGTGTACAATTTTGGCTATAGACAGACAAATAGACAGGCTTATAGACAGGCCTATAGACAGGCTTATAGACCGGGCTATAGACAGGGGCCGCTAGGAACAGAGCAGACACTATTATGAAGAAATCTGTATATTTAGACTATGTAGACTGTGGTTCTTGGGGTGAGAGCCTTGGAGTGTAGACTGTGGTTCTTGGGGTGAGAGCCTTGGAGTGTAGACTGTGGTTCTTGTGGTGAGAGCCTTGGAGTGTAGACTGTGGTTCTTCAGGTGAGAGCCTTGGAGTGTAGACTGTGGTTCTTCAGGTGAGAGCCTTGGAGTGTAGACTGTGGTTCTTCAGGTGAGAGCCTTGGAGTGTAGACTGTGGTTCTTGGGGTGAGAGCCTTGGAGTGTAGACTGTGATTACGAGTGCCTCTCTCTAGCCAGCTAGAAAGAGAGATAATATCAAACACTGGGGACACTATTTTATTCTCCTTTTACACTGTGTCTGTCTGTAAAGAAGCCTGGTATTCTATGTTAGAGACTCATATTCTATGAGTCTATCAGTCTACATAGATTTGCCTAACCTGGTTTCCAAGAGACAAAACCCATTAGGTCAGTGAAACTTCCTGACCTCCACAGAGGTCTGTCTCTGTCTGATCAGTCAGAGCTGTGATTAACGAGCAGGTTTAACCAGGCAATCGTGTGTATCTGATTTACTAACAGAGAGAGATGGAGATGTCAATGAGATGTCTAAAGGCTGTGCCCAGTTATACATCTGGAGAGCAGGGAGAGGATCAGGGAGAGAATACACTCAGGGAAGGATAGTGGATAGTCCACCCTGAGAATGGGGTATAGTTTGAAGAGATCAGTTTATAAGTACCCAGCTAGCACATAACGTTCTGAGAACCATATGTTTCTTAGAGCTTTGTTGTCCTGTGATTATTTTTCATACTACCTTCCCGACAACTTTCTGGGAATGGTGCAGTATAGTTGCTTGGCTTTGGAACATTTTCAGCACATTTAAGTAACTTGACAAAAAAAACGTTTTTTTCTTGGTATTTAATTACTTTAACAGAACGTTTCCTAAAAGTTCAAACATGGTTAAATGTAATTAAAATACAAATTAGGTAATGTTCTAGGAATGTTCTCCAACTGGTTTGACATTGGGAATGTTCTGAGAAAACATTAAGAAACAATGTTCTTCTGTGGGAATTTCAGTACTTCAGCATAACGTTTCCTACAGGTTTCCTCATGGTTCTATTTAAAGTAATGTTCTCAAATTGTTCTGAGAATGTAAGAAAACTTTTCTTGAAAAACACAGGAAAATGTTTGTAATGTTCAGAGAACATTCTAAGAATGTTATTTAAAAACATATACATTCCATTCTCAGCATCAACAAAACTCTCTATCCTCTATCTTGTTAAGTGTGATTAGGTGTGTTAGCCGTGCCCACTAATTGGCCACACCTGATCTTAATGAGTGCTTGTTTCCTTTGAAATGGGGTCTGTTTGAACAAACTAAAATGAACAGCTTTGTATGCGTAAAATACCCATAGCATGCTAGCTCCATCCTGGTGTCGCAGTGGACTAATTCCATTGATAGTGAACAGAAGATTATAGGTTCGAATCGCACTGATGCTGTGTCACAATAAAACATTTGTGTTTGCATGATTAATGCCTAAGCAAATCTGTGCTTGGAGTTCAAAAAAGTTAAACCACAATAAGCTATCAGTGTTATTACAAGTCTTATTGAAACATTCAGTCAAAGTTTTAAGGAAGTTATTCAAAAACCTCCAAATAACCTTTAATTTCCATTCTCAGAGCTTTAAAAAAAAACTCCCAGGAAAACGTTTAAGCAACCAGAGTAAAACATTATCAGAACCTCCCTGCAATGTAAATGTAATGTTCCCAGGAAACGTAGGGCTTCGTTCCCACAACTAATGTGAAACCAAAATCATATGTTCCCACAACTTCCAAGGAACCAAATGTGATAACTGGGTAGTGTACAAGTAGCAGACACTTCCAGGTGCAGTGTATAGAAAGTATAGATGTGAGAAACAACTGGATGGCAAAGACCTTGTGTTTGAAACGTTGCAGTCAATAGAGAGGAGGAGATGAATGGGGGGAGAATCCTCTGCATCTACCTAGTGAGAAGGGAGGGATGTAGAGAGGTAGAAAAGGAAGGAGCGAGGGAAAGATGGAAGGATGAAGAAACAGCAGTGGACCGGGAGATGAGGAGGGGAGGGAGAGAGAGAGAGTAGAAAAAAAGAATCCCTGAGCATCTACCTGAGCTGGCTAAATGAGACTGAGACCTTGTTAACTCTGCAGCCTTTACAGATAAAAGTGCAAGGTTAACCGTTAGGCTGTCAGTACAGGGGCTTGGCCATTAGTGTTAGAATGCTTCTAATTAGGGAGGGTTAATGTTTTTATTTACAGTGACTGTATTAAGAGAGGGGTTAACAATGTGCAGTCCGTTTTAATTAGGGGCAGGTATAAAAGCAATGTGGAAACCTGCAGTAAATAATAGTAACACACAGCAACATAACCATTTTATCAACCAGAAAACACAGAAAACCAGAGCAGTATCTTTTCAACAGCCTTCTGTGTCTTTAAACTCTGGAATCCTAGAGAGAGTAAATAATTGGAATAAACACACAGTAAACACACTCTTTGGCAGCTACAGTGTAGTGTAATTACATGAACTGGGATTGCACTTTAGCCACATACGTAACGTTTTACTGTTATAGAGAGAGACAGAGCCTAGCACGTGTCAGAAATCCAGGGGTGTATCCAACAATGTATACAGCTGAGAGAGAGAGAGAGAGAGAGAGAGAGAGAGAGAGAGAGAGCGAGAGAGAGAGAGAGAGAGAGGACATGATCTCGTAGAAGAGAGAAAGAAGGAGGGTGAGAGCAATAAAAATAATGAAAAGAGAGGCATACCAGGACCTATAAACAGGGAGAAGAGAGGAGGAGAACAGACGGAGGCCCATATCAGTTTAACAGACAAACCACCCATGAAGCAGGTTAATATACTAAGCTGAGGTCACATCCCAAACATCTTCACATGTGCTGGGCCAAAAACACGTTTTACATTTCCTGCAACAGGGTGATCAAATTATAATTCTACATCTATACTGAAAAACTATATAAACGCATGCAACAATTTCAAAGATTTGACTGAGGTACTGTTCATATAGGGAATCAGTCAATTGAAATAGATTCATTAGGCCCTACTCTATGGATTTCACTTAACTGGGCAGGGGTGCAGCCAGGCGTTGGAAGGCACAGGCCCACCCACTTGGCAGCCAGGCCCACCCACTGGGGAGCCAGGACCAGCCAATCAGAATTAGTTTTTCCCCACAAAAGGGCTTTATTACAGACAGAAATACTCCTCAGTTTCATCAGCTGTCCGGGTGGCTGGTCTCAGACGATCCCGCAGGTGAAGAAGCCGGATGTGGAGGTCCTGGGCTGACATGGTTACAGGTGGTCTGCGGTTGTGAGGCCGGTTGGACGTACTGCCAAATCCTCTAAAACGACGTTGGAGACAGCTTATGGTAGAGAAATTAACATTAAATTCTCTGGCAACAGTTCTGGTGGACATTCCTGCAGTCAGCATGGCAATTGCACACTACCTCAAAACTTGAAAGATCTGTGGCATTGTGTTGTGTGACAAAACTGCACATTTTAAAGTGGCCTTTTATTGTCCCCAGCACAATGTGCACCTGTGTAATGATCATGCTGCTTAATCAGCTTCTTGCCACACCTGTCAAGGAGAAATGCTCACTAACAGGGATGTAAACAAATTTGTGCACAAAATCTGAGAGAAATAAGCTTTTTGTGGGTATGGACAATTTCTGGGATTTTTTATTTCAACTCATGAAACTTGGGACCAACACTTTACATATTGCATTTATTTTTTTGTTCAGTGTATATCAGAGTTCTGGACATGATTATTTTCTGTCTAGTGCCTGGACCAGTTAGAAGTGCTGATCTCTGTAATATATATCAGAAACAATAGGCTGTCTACCCTGAGCAGTCACAAAAAAACTGGCTGTTCTCGCCTTCACAGCGGGAAATAGACTTCCCAAGGACACCTGGTGCTCTGTGCCTCCTACTTTAACAAATGTTATGTATGTAGTGTATATCGTTCCAAACAATATGTTTTAAAATGAGCAAAATCAAAAAGGGTACTTTTGAAATATTTGACATATTTAATGTTTTAATGTTGAATAAATGAATGTGTAAAAAAAATTTCAGAATCAAGACATACTACATATTTTAGAGCACACTATAAGGAGTATAATGATACCAAGATGTTGTCTGTATCATGTACGGTTCATAGTTCTTATTGAATCGTTAGTGCGGTTGGTAGAAGCAGAATAAGTGTTTAAAAACACTTTTTTTAAAGCGTTTAATTCATTGTAAAAATGTGTTGAAAGCCACTGCCAAGACCTCCCAATGTCAGGTCTACACAGTAAATGTTTCATGCTTTGCATCAGGTATAGACACCAGTAATGGTCCCAGTTTGAAAAAGCTTTGGAGCGTTGACTAGAGACGTCTCCCTAATGAACACCACCCATCCCTGCAGCAGCTAAATAAAGTAAGAAGTTCTCCACATCTTCTTTAGTCATCCACCAGTTGTTGATAAATCATTGTTAACAACTTGGCGCCACAGTAGCATTGAATCATGTTGCAGTAGGGGGTCGCACTTCCGGAGCGACCCACTAGGTGTCATCCTCCGACAACCTTAGGCACCTCCTTACTCACAGTCTGGACTAACCATCATCCTATTGGTGTCACCTGTGTCTACCTGTTCACCTGTGTATTTATGCCCTCACTTCCCTGTGTTCCCTTGCTCAGTTTTCTCTGCTAGTTTCTCTATGCTCAGCAGTACTAATCAGTGTCTGATCGGAGAAGTATGTACAGGTACTTGAGAAGTGTTCTCCCTGTTTCTTTATTATTTCAGTCATAGTTACTATTTTGTATTTTGGCTGTCAGCCTGTTTTTGGAGACTTATTTGCTCCACCTTTCTTTTATCGTGTTAAGTCCGTTGTTTTGTATCGTGGCTTTGGGACCACCAGTAAAGATCCTTGTTTCACCATCTCTGCCTACAGCCTATTGTCTATCCTGCACCGTACCTGGGTCACACCTCACACCACCCCTTACAGTATCACTGACTCTGTCTGGATCAAAGAGTCTTGGATGTCTCAATCTCTGGCAGAACCCTTAACAAGTAAACACTCCTTCAGTGCTGGTTCTGGTGACCCACACGGTGTGCAGGCTTTTTTCCCAGCCTAGCACTAAAACCCCTTATTCAACTAATCAACTTGTCATCCAGCCAATGGTTAGTTGGGCATAAAGCTTGCCCTGAGCATAGTCCTGTACCCCTGATCCAGCGTGGTCCAATCCCAACCGCAGAAGGCAGTGGTGAGAGCCAGGACTGGACTGCGCCATTGCAGACAGTACCGGAGGGGGGAGTAGCAGCCTTTTGTGGCATCTACAGCTCAGGTTGTGCAGATCTGTCACCAGCCCAGCGCTGCACACAGAGGGGCAAACATTTTGTGATGGGGGGAAGGGGAGAGTCGTGACACCATCCTGGTCCTTGACAAAGGGCTAGGGTTCCACAGTGATTCGCCCCCTCGTCCAGCCAGTCAACACCACTAAACGCCTTTCATCTGGCCTAATAGCTCCCACGGGAAAGAACACTGGGGAAAGAACGCGAGGTGCCACAGAGGACTGTGATGAACCTAGAGTAGCTGCCCAAAGCCACACTGAAGACTGGACTAAGAGTAGCTAACCAGAGTGGCAATACCTCCAATGAACTTTCCCTTGTTATACAGTGAGAATATAAAGGAATGATTTGTCCAGTGCTGCTTCACGATGATAAGGAGAGCAGAGTGTGAGACTAACCGGTAGTGGGTTGAAGTGCTGGTCTACGAGATGTGTGTATCCATAGTCAAAAAACGAGTGTCGCAGGACCACGTCAATCCCCTGCATCGCTGCCATACCCAGAGTGTTCAGCCACCTGAAACACATACACGCACACAAACAAACACACACACACACACACACACACACACACACACACACACATACACACACACAAACAAACACACACACACACAAACACACACAAACAAGTGAGAATAATGCCTGAGTGAGGTGATACGTTGATTGATTTACAGGTTGATTCATTCATTCATAGATAGATTGATTGACTGTACTTACAGAAAGCCAGCGGCATAGGTATCAGAGAGGTTATTGGTTCCTCCAGACCACGCCGGACCTACTCCACTCAACCACACCTTCTTACCAGGAGCATGGCTATTCACTACCTGAGAGACACAGAGAGAGAGAAGAGAGAGAGAGAGAGAATGAGAGAGAGAGAGATAGAGATAGGGATAGAGGGGGGGGGACCGAGAGAGTCGATATAATAGGTCAGCTAGGGGTTTACAATTTATGTATCTACTAGATAGATCGATAGGGAGATGAGCTTGTTTTGTTCGAGTACGTAGAAGAGAGAGACGGGATATTAAATATCATATAGATTTTTTATAAATCTTTATGACCACCACAAAAGATTAGATCACAGAAAAATCGCGGATGAGAATCACGAAGAGAGAGAAAAAAAGGAGTAATGAGAATGTCCTTTGTTCAGTGACCGCAATGTGAGGTTAGAACGTTTAATTTAGTTTAAAAAATAATACGATTGATCGAACCTCTGGACTGAGCTGAACTGGACAGTCGATCTCCTCCAACTTTAGTCCCATCCTGCTGGCCCGGAGCCAGCTTCAGCAGCTAACCCAGGTAAATGGATCTGTCCCAAGGACCTGTTCTCTCTGCTCTAAACAGCTAACCCAGGTAAATGGATCTGTCCCAAGGACCTGTTCTCTCTGCTCTAAACAGCTAACCCAGGTAAATGGATCTCTGTCCCGAGGACCTGTTCTCTCTGCTCTAAACAGCTAACCCAGGTAAATGGATCTCTGTCCCGAGGACCTGTTCTCTCTGCTCTAAACAGCTAACCCAGGTAAATGGATCTGTCCCGAGGACCTGTTCTCTCTGCTGTAAACAGCTAACCCAGGTAAATGGATCTGTCCCGAGGACCTGTTCTCTCTGCTGTAAACAGCTAACCCAGGTAAATGGATCTGTCCCGAGGACCTGTTCTCTCTGCTCTAAACAGCTAACCCAGGTAAATGGATCTGTCCCGAGGACCTGTTCTCTCTGCTGTAAACAGCTAACCCAGGTAAATGGATCTCTGTCCCGAGGACCTGTTCTCTCTGCTCTAAACAGCTTCCAGATAACCATTACTACTGGCAGCAAATGGACACACACACACACACACAAACATACACAGACACACAAATATGCACAAGCACATACAGCACAAGCATGCTCACACACGCTTGGATGATCAGTTTATTTACCTTTGATATTGAATACTGAATTGTTGAGGAAGAGCTTGCAAGTAAGCAATTCACTGTGCTGTTTACACCTGTTGCAGGTGACAAATAAACTTTGATTTGATTTTGATTTGACACACATGCGCACGCACACACACACACTCACACAGTAGGGCGGCACACATCATTCTTTGATTGTTTTAATGGGCTTTGGGGGGGTCAGTGAGGGTAAATAGCCTTTGAGAGGATCCTTCCCTCTCTTTTACAATGGAGAAGAGTTGGGTGTTTTCTACCAGCTCAGAGACTCAGTGACTATATTGGAAATAGTGTTAGTAGCAATTATTACTTAATTGTGAGCACGATCGACCCACCCTACAGAGACAGACAGACAGACAGGTTCTTATGGCCTTCTTTTTCTCTCTGAGGGAAGTTCCTGCTCTAGATCTGAGAGTTGAGATCCATAGAATTGTGTCCATACAGAGGTAGGGCCTATGGAGGGACGGAGCAGGCAGCAGGGGAGCAGGGGAGAAGCAGGGCAGGTGATCAGCAGAGGCACGTGTAACGGAGGTGATTTGTTGAACCACTCTTACATGATGAGTGACACTGCCTGAGACCTTGTGTCAACCCTTGCCTTTCTCTCACCGTGAGTACTTTAGTGATCTGTTCAGTCAGGGTGTCCAGCAGGCGAGTCTTCAGAAAGTCCTCTACTTTGGTCACTCTGCTATCCATGTAGTAACTACAGACACAACAATAACACACACACACACAGAGAATACAGGTGACTTCTGATAAATGCACAGGGTAACGTCTTTTGTGACATGATGGTTAGGTTGTTTACACTTTAAAAAAAATTGTAATGCCAAATGCCCTCACTACATTATTACACGTTGCAACTTAAACAGAGTTTGCACTTATCAGGAAGTATATTCAACTCATTCTCATAAGGCCAAAGTCTGATTCTATGGTACACACAAACTCAAACTCAAACTCTTTTCAACGCTTTATAATAACGGCCAGTAATAAACAGTAGTTATTCACACAAATTGTACATCCTTTTTGAATGTTTCATAAGATAATTCATAACGTGCCCCCCTGGAGTCGATGTCCGCACCCCCGCTGAAATCAAATTAGCATAATAGTACAAATATTTGTTTGCATGGTCTGCGTCTCAATCCACCGCTTCCACCAATTGTGGCCTTCAAATGTGGCCGACCTACAGCGATGTTTGTCAGACCATGAGACATCCTGAAAATCGGTCTTCTCACGAAAATGTCTGTAGCCTCACAAGACTCGTATGAAGGTAGCCCGTTACCAGTTTAAAAACGCCTGTAGCCTCACAAGACTCGTATGAAGGTAGCCCGGTACCAGTTTAAAAACGCCTGTAGCCTCACAAGACTCGTATGAAGGTAGCCCGGTACCAGTTAAAAAAAACTAATGGAAGTATATGGAAGTAGTTTAGTGCCCCAAAAAAGGTTAAATATGGGTACAAAATATACAAAAATCCTTATCTTTCTTATATCTCTCAGATATAGGACAGACACTTTAAAACAAACTTCCTTTGATCTTTTCTTTTGGGACTTTCTGTTTTTCCATGTATGAATCTGTTATTCAATGTGTTTCTATGGGCTAATAGCAGTAAAGCCAAATACAATGTTTTATCAACAAAAAAATATATATACAGTACCAGTCAAAAGTTTGGAAACACCTACTCATTCAAGTTTTTTTTTATATTCTTCAAAGTAGCCACCCTTTACCTTGATGACAGCTTGGCACACTCTAGGCATTCTCTCAACCAGCTTCATGAGGAATACTTTTTCAACAGTCTTGAAGGAGTTCCCACATACACTACCGGTCAAAGGTTTGGACACACCTACTCATTCAAGGGTTTTCTTTATTTTTACTATTTTCAACATTGTAGAATAATAGTGAAGACATCAAAACTATGAAATAACACATATGGAATTATGTAGTAACCAAAAAATTGTTAATCAAATCAAAATATATTTTATATTTGAGATTCTTCAAATAGCCACCCTTTGCCGTGATGACAGCTTTGCACGCTCTTGGCATTCTCTCAACCAGCTTCCAACAGTCTTGAAGAAGTTCCCACATATGCTGAGCACTTGTTGGCTGCTTTTCCTTCACTCTGCGATCCGACTAATCCCAAACCATCTCAATTTGGTTGAGGTCGGGGGATTGTGGAGATCAGGTCATCTGATGCAGCACTCCATCACTCTCCTTCTTGGTAAAATAGCCCTTACACAGCCTGGAGGTATGTTGGGTCATTGTCCTGTTGAAAAACAAATGATAGTCCCACTAAGTCCAAACCAGATGGGATGGCGTATTGCTGCAGAATGCTGTGGTAACCATGCTGGTTAAGTGTGCCTTGAATTCTAAATAAATCACAGACAGTGTCACCAGCAAAGCACCCCCACACCATATTTTATGGTGGGAAATACACATGCGGAGATCATCCGTTCACCCACATCTCCAATTTGGACTCCAGACCAAAGGACAAATTTCATCCTGTCTAATGTCCATTGCTCTTGTTTCTTGGCCCAAGCAAGTCTCTTCTTATTATTGGTGTCCATTAGTAGTGTTTTCTTTGCATTCATTAGATCATGAAGGCCTGATTCACACAGTCTCATCTGAACAGTTGATGTTGAGATGTGTCTGTTACTTGAACTCTGTGAAGCATTTATATGGTCTGCAATCTGAGGTGCAATTAACTCTAATTAACTTAGGTAACTCTGTGTCTTCCATTCCTGTGGCGGTCCTCATTTACTTTTTTTTCTCCCATTTTAGTCATTTAGCAGACACTCTTATCCAGAGCGACTAACAGGAGCAATTAGGGTTAAGTGCCTTGCTCAAGGGCACATCGACAGATTTTTCACCTAGTCGGCTCGGGGATTAGAAGCAGCGACCTTTCGGTTACTGGCACAACGCTCTTAACCATTAAGCTAACTGCCACCCCATGAGAGCCAGTTTCATCATAGCGCTTGATGGTTTTTGCGACTGCACTTGAAGAAATGTTCCGTATTGACTGACCTTCATGTCTTAAAGTAATGATGGACTGTCGTTTCTCTTTGCTTATTTGAGCTGTTCTTGCCATAATATGGACTTGGTATTTTACCAAATAGGGCTATCTTCTGTATACCCCCCCTACCTTGTCACAACACAACTGATTGGCTGAAACGCATTAAGAAGGAAAGAAATTCCACAAATTAACTTCTAAGAAGGCAAACCTGTTCATTGAAATGCATTCCAGGTGACTACCTCATGAAGCTGGTTGAGAGAATGCTAAGAGTGTGCAAAGCTGTCATCAAGGCAAAGGGTGGGTATTTGAAGAATCTCAAATATAAAATATATTTTGATTTGTTGAACACTTTTTTGGTTCCTGCATGATTTCATATGTGTTATTTCATAGTTTTGATGTCTTCACTATTATTCTACAGTGTAGAAAATAGTAAAAATAAAGAAAAACCCTGGAATTAATAGGTGTTTTCAAAACTTTTGACCGGTAGTGTAGGTGTTCCTTTCGTTTAGGTGGGAAAGGGAAGTGTGGAGTGCGGTCTTGGCCATGGTGGAGAGTTTGGAATCTGATTGATTGATTGCTTCTGTGGACAGGTGTCTTATTTTTTGATCCCCTGCTGATTTTGTATGTTTGCCCACTGACAAAAAATTGTCCATCTATAATTTTAATGGTAGGTTTATTTGAACAGTGAGAGACAGAATAACAACAAAAAAATCCAGAAGAACGCATGTCAAAAATGTTATAAATTGATTTTGCATTTTAATGAGGGAAATAAGTATTTGACCACCTCTCAATCGGCAAGCAGCTTGGTGAGAAGGTGACAACAGTTGGTGCGATTATTCGCAAATGGAAGAAACACAAAATAACTGTCAATCTCCCTCGGCCTGGGGCTCCATGCAAGATCTCACCTCGTGGAGTTGCAATGATCATGAGAACGGTGAGGAATCAGCCCAGAACTACACAGGAGGATCTTGTCAATGATCTCAAAGCTGCTGGGACCATAGTCACCAAGAAAACAATTGGTAACACACTACGCCGTGAAGAAATCCTGCAGCGCCCGCAAGGTTCCCCTGCTCAAGAAAGCACATATACAGGCCCGTCTGAAGTTTGCCAATGAACATCTGAATGATTCAGAGGAGAACTGGGTGAAAGTGTTGTGGTCAGATGAGACCAAAATCGAGCTCTTTGGCATCAACTCAACTCGCCGTGTTTGGAGGAGGAGGAATGCTGCCTATGACCCCAAGAACACCATCCCCACCGTCAAATATAGAGGTGGAAACATTATGCTTTGGCGGTGTTTTTCTGCTAAGGGGACAGGACAACTTCACCACATCAAAGGGACGATGGACGGGGCCATGTACCGTCAAATCTTGGGTGAGAACCTCCTTCCCTCAGCCAGGGCATTGAAAATGGGTCGTGGATGGGTATTCCAGCATGACAATGACCCAAAACAAACAGCCAAGGCAACAAAGGAGTGGCTCAAGAAGAAGCACATTAAGGTCCTGGAGTGGCCTAGCCAGTCTCCAGACCTTAATCCCATAGAAAATCTGTGGAGGGAGCTGAAGGTTCGAGTTGCTAAACGTCAGACTCGAAACCTTAATGACTCGGAGAAGATCTGCAAAGAGGAGTGGGACAAAATCCCTCCTGAGATGTGTGCAAACCTGGTGGCCAACTACAAGAAACGTCTGACCTCTGTGATTGCCAACAAGGGTTTTGCCACCAAGTACTAAGTCATGTTTTGCAGAGGGGTCAAATACTTATTTCCCTCATTAAAATGCAAATCAATTTATAACATTTTTGACATGCGTTTTTCTGGATTTTTTTGTTGTTATTATGTCTCTCACTGTTCAAATAAATCTACCATTAAAATTATAGACTGATCATGTCTTTGTCAGCGGGCAAACGTACAAAATCAGCAGGGGATCAAATACTTTTTTCCCTCACTGTACAGGTAACAAGCTGAGATTAGGAGCACTCCCTTTAAGAGTGTGCTCCTGATCTCAGCTCGTTACCTGTATAAAAGACACCTGGGAGCCAGACATCTTTCTGATTGAGAGGGGGTCAAATACTTATTTCCCTCATTAAAATGCAAATCAATTTATAACATTTTTGACATGCGTTTTTCTGGATTTATTTGTTGTTATTCTGTCTCTCACTGTTCAAATAAACCTACCATTAAAATTATAGACTGATAATTTCTTTGTCAGTGGGCAAACGTACAAAATCAGCAGGGGATCAAATACTTTTTTCCCTCACTGTACAGGTAACAAGCTGAGATTAGGAGCACTCCCTTTAAGAGTGTGCTCCTGATCTCAGCTCGTTACCTGTATAAAAGACACCTGGGAGCCAGACATCTTTCTGATTGAGAGGGGGTCAAATACTTATTTCCCTCATTAAAATGCAAATCAATTTATAACATTTTTGACATGCGTTTTTCTGGATTTATTTGTTGTTATTCTGTCTCTCACTGTTCAAATAAACCTACCATTAAAATTATAGACTGATAATTTCTTTGTCAGTGGGCAAACGTACAAAATCAGCAGGGGATCAAATACTTTTTTCCCTCACTGTAAGTATTCAGACCCTTTACTCAGTAGTTTGTTAAAGCACTTTTGGCGGCGATTACAGCCTCGAGTCTTCTTGGGTATGACCCTACAAGCTTGGCACACCTGTATTTGGGGAGTTTATCCCATTCTTCTCTG